GCGGCGTCTCTTGCAGTGGGTCCCGAGTCCTGCTTTCCACTGCTGCTTTTCAGGGCCTCCTCACGTCACGATCCGCCCTCCGTTCAGCCCCGCGCCGCCTGGTTTTCCACCAGGTTGCTGACCTACAGCAGTTAGGGCCTTCCTGCTTAGACTCTTCCAGGGGCGCCTACGCTGTCTTCCCTGACATCCATTCTCTCACGGGGCTGTCTCTTGTCGTCTCTCCACCTCTCTAAGCCCTCCGTTCTTCCTAGTACCCTGACGCAACTGCAGTTTGCAAAAGGCTACTAATTTCCCAAAGCATACATACTCTTTTTACATTGACTTTGTTGTTGTTACATGCTGACATTGTGTATTTGCCACCTGGAATACAGAGTTTCAATCGTGGTTGGCCGTTAAAATCATCTGTGGAGCTTCTTTAAGTACCCGTGCCTGAGCCCTACCTCCTGAGATTTTCATTTAACTGCTGGAAAAAGGACCTCTGTGTTGTTTTGTTTTGTTAAAGCTTTCTAAGTGATTTTGATTTGCCGCCAAGATTGAGAACCGCTTGCGTGTCACCTCTTTCAGGAAGCCTTCCTTGATTTGCTGCCCTTATGCCCAGTCTGAGTTAGGTACCTATCTTCTGTGCTTTGATTCAATCCTGTATCATACCATGATCTTGTCATTTATTCATGTATTGTGTGTTTGTCTCATTCATTCCGAGACCTACTACCCCAAGCGTAATTTCAGACTCCTCCTCTCCCATCTGAGGCTGCTAATACAACTTACTGGGGCAGAATTGACTCCGGAATTTGGTGGAGCTAAGTGTATGTTACAGGTGGCGCTTAGGATTCAGAGTGAGCAAACAAGGCTGTGAGAAAGAAATTAACAGCGATGAGGAGACAGAACAGGAAGTGCAGTGGCGAAGGCAGGGGACATAGAAAGGCCGCCTGTAGTGAAAGGGGAACTTCTTGAAATACACTTTCAAGCCTGTAGGTCCAGTAGTAATACTTAAAATTACCAGTAATAGCACCTTCCCTTCAAGGAATTCTATTTTTATTAATAAGACATTGACCACCAAAGATCTTTTTTTTTTTTTTTTCCTTCTCAATGTATGGGACTCCACAGAACAAAGTGCTGCTAAAATCATGGCCACTGGAGCCAAAATGGGCTTTTGAATCCTGACTCTGCTACCTAACAGTTGTGTGACCTTGAACATGCTACTTAACCTCTCTGGGTCTGCTTCCTCCTATTTAAAATGAGGATAGTAATTGTACAATACTTACCTGAAAAGCTGTTGTGCAGATTAGTGGATGAAGCCATGCCTAGCCCTCGCTGTCATTATTTGCTGTTAGGGTGTGGTTATTGAGACTTGCTGTGATTGATGTTACCTCAATAAAAGTACTAGTTGTATATATTTTTGATAATCTAGTGATGCAGAAGAAATTTATAAGACTGACTTAATGAATTTTCAATTTAACTGCCTTTTAGTGGCTTCACTTAGAAAATTGAAGGAGAGGAGACATTTCTTACACAGCACAGAAATATTAGCAAGTAAAAAACACCCCTCACTTTATAACACTAGCGAAAGTCTTTAAATTCTTCGCCGTAAATAGTTGCATTATACAACTTTGTCTACATCCTTCCTTTGTCACGCTTACTAAACTAAAATTCTGAATAACTTAGTGTAAATGTGAAATTTTTTTTATATGAGTTCTCAAAACGTTTCTGGTTTGTTGCATTTGGCACTGAAAAAAAAAATCAGTATATAAACCAGGATTTGATTAACAGCATGGAGGACCTTAGCATCTGGAGGCTCTACCCTGGATGCAGTTGAGCATGGCTGTGCCGTGTGTGAGAGGGAGCAGTGTGACGGCAGTGTGGGCTTTGGAGGGAGTCCCGATGAGCTTGGAGAAACCACGTTGGATGCCATGATCATGGACGGGTAAGAACATCAATCAACCTTCTACTGAGAGCAAGACAGGCATGTGTAAGCTTTGTCTGGTCAAAACCCCTAGTTTATTGTACATGTCCTGTCCAAATACAAGGAATTTCCCTCCCTGTTGAAAGAAAATCATCATCATAATAGAAATATCACATAGAAGTAGGTAGTCTCCTTAGAACACACACAATCCCAAGCTTTGAAAAGATGTCTGCCCTGGTAGACCATCATTGACCTGCCATCCCCGTAAGCTGTGGTTTGCATGACCCAAAGCCTTAAAACCACTTCTGAAAGCCACGTTTAAAATGAGTCAGGAGAAACAGAATGACAGTACTGTTGGAGTATGTGGTAGATTGATTTGCTGTTTGTTCCTTAATCTGTCTGCTTGTGGGAATTTGTATGAACTTCATGCATGTGCTGTCGTGTGTAACGTTAAGATGGTGGAATTTATCCTACAAAACTGTTGCTCCAAGTAAACCAATACTGTTTTTATCTTTGAACCTGTGAAAGTACCTTAATCAATCACATGCACTTTTTTCTTTCAGCACTACTATGAACGTAGGAGCGGTAGGAGATCTCAGGCGAATTAAAAATGCGATCGGAGTGGCTCGGAAAGTGCTAGAACATACAGCACACACGCTGTTAGTGGGAGAGTCAGGTATATTTTTACAACACTGAAGCTTTATCTAGCCCTCTGTCTCTGTCCCTCACTGTGAAAAAATAAAATCGATCAAAGCCGGCCCAAGTTCCAATTCCAGCTCTTTTACTTAGTATCTATTTACTGTCAGGTAAGTTACTAAACTTCCAAATTCACACTTTCTTCATCTTTAAAATAGTAAAAAATAAAGAACAACATGCTAAAGTTTTAAACATGGATAACATGGTGGAATGGATGCTAAGGTTTGGAGGATAGAGACATTGACTAGGGAAGCTAAATAAAAAAAATTATGAGTGCTCAAAAAAAAAAAAAAAAGGATTTAAAAAACCTAGTTCCTTATCTATAGATAGGTAATTGCTGGACTGAAGCATGAGCCAGCAACATTTCTCTCCCTGAATTCATTGTATCAGGGTGAGACCACAGAGCATTCTTCTCGTCCGAAGACGGGCACCAGAGTATTGCCATGACAGCGTCAGTTGCTTGAACGTCTTCCATATTATATACCAAAAATCATACAGTGACCTATAATCAAAAATACTTTTTAGTGATGAATTAGTTAATAACTCCACAGTTAGGCGTCCTTCAGTTTTGCCAAAAGATGGAATTAAAAACTGTCTGACAAGCTAAAAGATGTTACTCACACATGGAGTCTAGTTGGCTCTTTGTTTGGTGTCTCAACGCTGGGCATTGCGCCCTAGTTAGAACAATAAGATTCTTGCTTGTGAGCGGGGTGTGCAAGAAGGGAGACTGGGAAGGGGGATGGAAAAGAGAATTAATAACTGTCACAATATACACCCCAAGGGTCTCAAGCAGATCAGATTTAGGAATTACGTGGCAATTGAGATCTAGAAACTGATGTCCTTAAAACTGTTCGTGTCTGAATATTCTTCTCAAAGTCATCGTGTGCCCCCCGGGATGGTGTACCCCACTTGAGAGACTGCTGACCAAGAACACTTCCCGTATATGTATTTTATTTAGAAGGCAATGCTTAACTAATTTATCTTTTTCTTTTCTTCCTAATCTCCAGCCACCAAGTTTGCTGAAAGTATGGGGTTTATCAGTGAGGACTTATCTACCAATACTTCTCGAGCCCTTCATTCAGATTGGCTTGCTCGGAATTGCCAGCCAAATTACTGGAGGGTATGTAGACCCAATTTTTAAAAGTAAATCACTAGAAAATATGAAGCGACACCCCATCTGCTCTTTGTTGGCTACCTCTTGCCTAAAGTGCTGGTTATCACCCTGGTTGCACTTGAGAACCAACGATTTAGTCGACTCTCAGGGCGTGGATGTTCCCGAACACTCCTTAGCTGCTTCTCGTGCACGTACGTCTGTGGTGGAACACTCCTGGATCTTGACAGCAGTTCTCAAATTGGGACGGCACTGATGTGGGCAAGAGTGGGTGGCCTCGGTCAGAACAGCTCTGCTTGTATTTCCTTGCAACAGAAGGTTCCAAGTCTAAAAAAATCAGAGTTTGGAAACCATTTGTCTAAAATATTTCTTACATTTTGTCTGCATGAAGTATACCCAGTATCTTGCCCTGTTGACTGGATCTATATTATTAGGTGGCTAGTGTGTTAGTGGTGGGGTCATTTATTTTTAAATCAGTGGGACTTTTAGCATAAATCTGTTTGTCTTTGCCATCCAGAACCCTTCTGTGGACTACCTTAGTCTCTCATCTGTTTCTTCTCCCAAACCCTAATAACCTTTGAGTAACCAGTGAGTCTCAGGGGTTAGCATTTGAAAGAGGCTAGTGTATAAAACTGGGTCAGGGGAGGCAGCAAGTGCACTAATGAGTAAGACCTGAGCAGTAGGTTTCCTGATTAAATACTAATCCATATGCACAACCTAAATTTATGAGTTTTAATCCTTTTCTTGTGTCTTTAAATCCATAGAGGAATCTGAGTACAACTTAAAATATGTTCGCATGAACCTAGCTTTGAAATAAAGAGGGTTTTAAAGTAGATTTTGCTTTAAATCTCAGAATTCTTTGGCCAGAGAACAAATTCTGAAATTTAAAGGTCAGGCCGTGTACCTAATTCCTTTGAGGATTAAGATCTAATACACAAATCTTCATTTCTATCTGCCATTGTGCAGAGACCTTTAGCCATATAAAGAGAAAAATTAGGGATTTTTTCCAGACAGTATAGATGCTGATTCTATATTATGTAATTCTGATACTAGACTAGTATTAAATTAAATTATATCCATCCGTTCACATAAGACTTAGCTAATCTTTGGTTTTTAATTCATACCTTTCAGTTACCAGACATCCTTTGGGTTTCTTGCTAGTGTTCTATCATTGTATATGACTACTTGCCAGTTTCTAAAATGAACCTTCCTAAAAACTAAAACTTAAATCTTGTTCACAGAATGTTGTCCCAGATGCTTCAAAATACTGTGGACCTTACAAACCACCTAGTATCTTAAAGCAAGAAGGTCCTTCCCATAAAGAAACAGGAGATAACCACGGTCATGATACAATTGGTAACTTGCCTTTTATATAATTGTTATGGTTAAAGTTCAGCCATTTTTAATTGCCTTTCTGTAGTTCTTAACTTCTTCATCCTTATTTATGTGCCAGAAGGTGATTTTAACCACTTGCACTGCCAGGTAAGCCTATATATAGATAGGTGGGTGCACGTACACACAGTTTCCTTCCATTGTATCTATATACATTTAGATAAATTACACAAGGCCCCTAAAATCTAGCGATTAGCCACTTACAGATTTTTAAATCTTTACTTGATACGCTGGGTTTTTTTTTTTAAGTTTTTATTTATTCTTTAAGTAATCTCTGTACCAACATAGGGCACAACCACGACCCTTGGATCGAGAATCACGTGCTCTTCCGACTGAGCTAGCCACGCGCCCCTGCTTGATATGGAGTTCTTTAATAATTTTATATTGTTTGCCACATTAGAGCTGTCATGTTGAAAATTTCCATTATTCTGTGTCAATGACTTGCTCTGGAATTACCTTTGAAAGGTAACTGAGCAGTTTGAAGAGTAAGGATATAGAAAGTCTGCCAGATGATGCTCTGACAGTGGGTTCTGAAACAGTACACATTAGGCAAGTGGTGTAATTTTCAGCATTCCTGGGCTTCCTATTTTCTTCTACCCGAAATTATTGAGTGAGGATATTTGTATTACCAGCTGCTGAAGTATTTGTTTATATTCGAGGTAAACCTCAGAGCTGACACCTACAGTGATTTTTTTTTTTTTTAACTTTTAGGCATGGTTGTAGTCGATAAGATGGGACGTACTGCTGCCGGGGCATCTACAAACGGTATAAAATTCAAAATACCTGGGTTAGTGTTTCTGAAAGAACGGATCTTGCAAATACGCATTGAGTAGAAACCAGCATGTGCAAGGTGCTAGTGAGAGATGCAAAATGTAAAGCACAACCCCACCCCTACCGCTGAGATAGATAAATGTGAAAGCAAATAATTGAGTATCTGCTAAGTGCCAAAGGCTTGGGCATTGCAGCTGGTGCCGTGGAGCTCAGGGATGGCAGGGTGGTCTGAGCCAGCGGGGCAGTTGGCTGGGGAGAGGCCAGCAGGGAGATGCTGGGGGCTGAGCCGGAGCCTCAGGGAGGGAAGGGAGCATCCAGGCTAAGGCACGCACAGACCCGGGGTAGCGCGTGCTTGGTTCAGGGCTTCTACCTGCTGGAAAAGAAATTGCATGAATGTCAGGTGCCCCGGGGGGGGTGGGCGGTGGGGCTGGACTGAAGCCACATTGCAGGGGGTCCTGAGTCAGTTTAAGGATTTCTGGATTTTATTTTAAAATAGAAAAACACCCAAGGTTTATTACGAGGAAGAACCTTGGTAAAGTTTTGACACATGAGAGAGAAAGCAAGAATAGACTGTAGCTGAGGAAAACCAATCGGAACCTATTGAGATAGTCCAGAAATGCGATGACAAAGGATGGTGGTAATTGAATAGTCACTAAATCTGTGACATCTTGACATCTAACTGGCTGGCATCTAATGCTTATATCATGAACTGAGGTGTGTGGAAACCTTAGTTGAAAAACAAGTGAAAATCTTTGCTCTCTGTGTTCTGATGAAGACTTTACTTAGAACAATCATCAGTGGCTAAGTAGAAACATCCCCTGTTGTTGAATCATGTCCTAAAATACTGTGGCATTCACACTTGATCTCCTGTCCTGAATTTTTGTGCCCTGCCCTCACAAAGTCGAGTAGGGGATTCGCCAATACCCGGAGCTGGTGTCTACGCGGATGACAGCGCAGGAACGGCCGCAGCCACTGGCGATGGGGATATACTGATGCGCTTTCTACCCAGGTGTGACTCCTCCCGTTTAGGACCCTTGGAGATCTTGACAGGAGATGGCGTCAGAAAATAACTGTTGGTGCCAGGCCATCTGGTTTTGTGTGCATGAGAGCTTTCTAGAAATTCTGCTTCCATACCCTTCGCCTCTGTCATTTTCGATGGTGGTAATTTAAGTCATCATCGTCCTCTGAAATAGAATATTTCTTGCTTTACTTCCCAGATGAGAATACTTAGGATGCATTTAAATCATTTGTGTGAGGCCGCCGAGTAAAGGAACTGTGGTAATTGATGATAATAGTAGGAAAGACAGTCACTGTGTACAATTAATTCCTGGAAGATGACTATTACAGCTGAATGTCTTGCACATGCCCACCGTTTCCCCCATTAATTGCAGCCCCATTTCTTATTTAAACATAACCTCTATTCTTTAGGACTTCTGGCTATCATTCCTAAGTAACAGTTATCCAGCCAGAGTCAAAAAGAACAGTCCTCATTTGAAGTGAAGGGGTAGATAAGTTGCAAAGATAGACATTGTATCTAGGTTTACTTGCCTTCCCAGTTGAAGGTAACAGGAGTTACTGACTTCTCTTAGGTATTTTATCAACTGTGACAATTCTGATGGTTTTAGGTTTCTAACTTCAAGTAACAAATTTGGACTCTGTTGACTCTGTGATCCTAAAAGTTCTGCCTCTGTTTAAATCAGCTACCAGGCTGTAGAATATATGAGAAGAGGAGAAGATCCAACCATAGCTTGCCAGAAAGTGATTTCCAGAATTCAGAAGTATTTTCCAAACTTCTTTGGGGCTGTTATATGTGCCAATGTGACTGGAAGTTATGGTAAGTTTTATTTGGAATTCGTATTTGCGTGAACTTGTAAATGTTGTTGAAAACATACACTTTAAAATATTGTAGTGTAATTTGCTCCTATACAATGGAAACAGGGACTGTATCAAGTAGACACTGGGTCACCGTTAATCGTTGATCTGCCAAGACCCCCAAGAGTGCTTAAATATACCTACACCCCCGCCTCCGGCTGACTCTCGGTGCTCATGACCCAGTGTTTGGCCCCTGGTTCTTATCTTTGACATGGGTCCACCGGGTATTCAGCTTCAGCTCTGGTGCCAGGTGACATGGACTACTCTAGTCGAATGCTTTTATTAATTAGAGGTCGATGGGGACAAATTGTCTTCCCAGCTTCTTTTCCATTCATTATATTAATGTCTCAGTCATTTAGATCTTCTTGGGGCTCCAAGGTACCAAACGTATTACTAATTAGTAAGCCAAAGAAGTTGGCAGAATTATTTTTACACTGCATATGAGGCATGTCCTTTACTTCATTCACTTTCCATATGAGCCTATCACAGTTTCCAAGTGTTTCAAGATCAACCACTGCTGCTTCTCATTAGGGAATTTTCAAATGAGGAAGATACACAGCTTACTGATCAATATAACGTATTAGGTTAGACTGCTTATTATTGTCCTTTGATCTTTTACTTCCCACAGTTCTGTATTTGAAAAACTTGTTTGAGGAATTCCTTATTCTTTTTTAAGTACTGAGATACCCAAGTCAATAAAAGTGATGGGGGGAGGGGCAGGCTTTATGTTTACAGTGAGTCAGTTCGATTGATTCCATCTTATGAAATAACCTTAGAAGGCTCAAAATTGGATTTAACAAGATGTAAAAATGACAATTATGTAATTGTAGATGAATTTAAAATTGACTGGTTCTCTAAAGCAATGGCATTAGAAGGGGACCGTGCAGGTGTTTGGGCAGGGGAAAGACCCCCTTGCCATAGGTGGGGAGGGCGGCAGGAAACTGGCTTCAGTAAGGGGAGCTGGATTAGACACAGAGTATCTTTTGACAAAGAGCTCTTCCTGTGGGAGAAGAATAGAAAAGAACAGGGAGCGAGGGGAGGGGAGGATTAGGGCTGAATCATGGGCATATCTTAGTGGCTAGGGAAATAAAGTTTTGGGCACTTGCCTAAATAATTTTTCCTAAGAAAAGGAGATGAAACCAGAGTGAAGTAATAGTAGTAAAGATATCATGTGTGTATACAAGCAGAAAATCAGCCTGTATTCTGAGGCTCGAAGAGATGGCTTCCCCACCGCCCCCGCCGTCGTTCTGTCCTCTCATGGCTGGTCAGCTTATCAGGACTGAGAGAGCTTCTTCGTGTGGCTCAGTTAACTTGGGGTCCACGACAGCCAGCAGCCAGGCAAAGCAGCTGTGTGTGTATTGGTTGTAAAGATGTGCATCCTCTATTCACCCAGACAACGTTCTCTTTTCTTGGCCCCAGGTGCCGCTTGCAGTAGACTTCCCACATTTACTCAGTTCAGTTTCATGGTTTATAATTCTCTAAAAAATCAGCCAACTGAAGAAAAAGTAGACTGCATCTAATCCAGCTTTTCCGTCCGCATCTATATTTAAAGAGGAAAGAAACAAAGGCTGAAAAGGTTACTCACTGTCATCGTATCCTATGCCTCATGCATTCTACCTTCTTTGTATAAATAGGCACAAAAATAAACGTGGGCTGAAGTAGCACTTTCCCTTTCTCTGTCGGACGTGGTTCTTATGATCTTGTTATTTAAGCTTTGTCTGTCCCCTGAACATGAATATGTATGCATGTATTTTGTATATGTTTAAATTTTAAGTGATATTTGGATTTCTGCTCAACGTTTCAAGACATGGCTACTTTGGGGATTTATTTCCACAGTGATGTATTAAGGACAAAGGAAATAATGTGCATTTGGATACTTAAAATAATTAGAGGGTCCAAGTTTTTTAGACCCAAAAGAACAAAATACCGGTGAGTTGCAGCATGATTAGCCCTGATTCAGTTTCATTACCTTACAATGATGGGTCTCTTATCACTGATTATCAGCTTTACATAATGTTCCCTACCAGCTTGAAGAGGAAAGAATTCCATTAATAATAAAGGCGGTTTTGTTTTGCACGTATTCAAAGGTATGGGCAAATCTGATGAGCAATTGTGTTGATTTCCTTTGGTTTTTTCCTCTGATGGAGTTCTCAATGTGTGAAGCTTCTTTAGTTGCAAAAATCCCTGATCATTTAGCTACTAATACTTAGTACTGAGAATTTGTTCTGAAAATGTTTTAGGGAACTTGATCGATACGACAGCATTACTAACCTCTTGTGCAGAGTTTGGTGATTGCAGTTGGAAATAGGGCAGTAAAATGGTGGCTAGCTGGGCATCGTTTTCCTTGGCACTTGGTCAACCTATCTGGCTGACAGCCAGAGAGTTGTATATGTGCCTTCTCAGCATCGTCTTTTCCTTCAAAAGCATTATCTTGTACATAAATCTGTGTGTACAATATTGTCCTCAAACTGTAGATCTGCTCTGATTTTTTCGATGCCTCTTAATATTTAATGTTCTTTATAATTTAGGGCTAGAGAACTATAGTTTTGAGAATGTTTCAATTCCCTTGTTCTCAGACCTTGCTGTGTGTAACTGTCTGGAGAACCTCTTCACAAACACCCTCTGCTTCAGGTGTGAGAACCCGACTAACGCCATCTTGGACAATGTGTCCTGGGGATGGCTGTGTGACCTGGAGAGTTCTGGAGCACAGCCCCTGCCAAACACACACACACACACACACACACACACACACTTTATTTTTAACTACACTCAAGTACATCCTTGGGGCAAAGATCAGCTCTGGAGATCGAACTATGATTCTCAAACATTTCCTCTCAGGTGGTCGCCCAGCCTCTAGGGCTATAAAAATCGGGTTTTACGGGGGGTAGGGTTCTGGACCTCTACTCATCTTTCAGCTGCCCAAGACACACTTCTCTCCCTGAGTCCCCTTAATAAACCATTTCCTGTCAAGCTGAACTTGTCGGCCTTTTTCTTTGGTCTTATGGCTGCTTTGGCCTTTGGAGGTCATGTTGCAAATACCTCCATTTCAGGAACACTAGCCCACCAAATCAGATTCTTCACAAATTAGAATCTGAAATCCGGAATTAGCAGCTACTGATGGTAGCCTGTAAACTACTAGGGAAATAATCCTACAGATTCACTCACATTCACAGAGGAGAGAAACTCTTACTTTTGAGGGTTCTCATGAGGTATATTGATTTGTTTAAATCTGATATTGGGCCTTGGAACAAAGGAGAGGAAACAGATTTAAGCTTGCAGTGTATTTATATCAAGATGGAATCCCTGTTTTGTATGTTAGTTATCTGTTAATATTTTAGGCAGCCATGTACCAGCAGAAAAATTGAAAGTCTTCATGGCCTGTCATTCCTCAGCAAATTAGGAGTTTAGCTGTTAAAAACTGATGTGGGAAGCAAAGGCAGAAGAAAAATTATTAAATTTCCTTACCACCTAGAGCCCATTGACAAGTCCTTGAAACAGGCAGAGTGACTTTCCTCTAGGGACTCGGCTGCCTCCATGTTAATACTTTGCTAAGGGCAAAAGGCAATCCTAGCAAGACCCCCAGGATCCTGTAAGTCTACTTTGGAAACTTCTTTTATCTCTAAAGCCCCCAAGATGCATGTTGGCAATCATCCCCCAAGCATATGGCCCACTGATATACATCTGGAGGATCTCATGACTCAGGTTTTATGAGACAGTAATAAATGACCTTTCCCCAACAATAGCTAGCCCCTTCAAGGTCCCAGAAACCTTGCTTCCAAATTCCTTAGAGACTTAGGCTATCCCTAACCCCCTCCCAACTTGAAAGTATATAATGGGCCACTCCTCATGACCCCAGTACAGCTCCTTCTGCCCATGGGTCCTGTCCCGGGCTTTAATAAAACCACCTTTTTGCACCAAAGACGTCTCAAGAATTTTTTCTTGGCTGTTAACTCCGAACCCTAACATCTTTCCTACATCAAAAACAACCCACTTATGTTTTTAAAAGGTATTTTTCTCTCCCTCTCACATTCTTCTTGATGGAAATAATTTCCCTATATATCTAATGTAGAAAGAAATGGAATTTGCTTTGGAAATATTTTTTTTTAAGTTCTAGATTTGAATATCATATTAACTAAAGGCTGCAGATGTTATTGTCCTTTCTTTTGAAAAGCTAGAATTTTTTTTTTTTTTGTCCCTGGTGACAATGTGCAGAGAGGGAGCTCACCTCTTTAATGATGATGTTTTGATAATCAGTGTTCACTGGGGTCCGTAGGGGAGACACATAGATAACTAGTGAAATTGCACAATTCAAAAAGGGAACTGTGAGCCAATCATAAATGGAACTTAGAACTGGTTCCCTAGTGTGGTGACTAACATAACATAATAAAAATAAACATTAAAAATGAACTGTTTCCCCAAAACTTCATAAAAGCGAGAAAGTGCTTGGGGAAGGGAACCTTGGAAAAATTAATCATGATCTAACTTTTTATGGCAAACAGTAGTTGGTGATTTTCGTCACATCTATCCTAGCTGTGCCACTACGTGGATGCAGGGCCAGGAGGCAGCTTGGGGTGAAGGTAAGAGCTAGGATTACAACACCTTCCCCATTGTGCCAGGTTTCTTTCCTTTGACCCTACAGAAAATGTTCTATTACTTACCTACTACTTAAGCGAAATTAAATTGTCCTAGCACACATACCAATTAATCAACTTTAAGTGAGAACATGAATGTTGTCACTCAGATTTGTTAGTCAGGTTTTCTATACTATGTAGGTACATAGTATCTACATACTCCCACACAGCACTCCCCACCTAATTCTGTTCCTGCCTCTTCAGCTCCCAGACTTCCACCTTTTCTCTCCTGTAAGGTTTCCAACACGGCAAAGGAGTCTGGTGGGCTTTAATCTGGGCATTATCCTAGCTCAGTTTAAACAACATCAGAGCAAGGAAAGGATTTTGATGTCAATAGTATCAAAGTTTCTTGATTATTTCTGTAGGTGAACTTCACTCAAGTCTTTGTTTTTTTGTCGTTGTTGGGTTTTTTTTGGTTTGTTTTTTTGTTTTTTGTTTTTTTAGCACAATAGGCAAAGAGGAAAACCTTAACCACAAATACTTAATAGAGATGTTGGTAATTTCATGCTCTTCATTGATGTGCTTTGATTAAGCCCTGGAACAATTTTTTTTAATTATTTAACTTTTTTTTATTTAAACAGGGCAACAATGACTCACCCTATGGCTTGAGTCATATTTTTACTGGCTCCGGCATAAACCGTGGAGTCATGAATCATGCTCACCAAACATCTCCAGCTCTGCACATGGTGGGATTGCTCTTCCTGGACCCTTGTGATTTGGTGTAGGCGTGTGACTGATTTTAGAGCTTTAATCCCAAGTAAAGACTGTGAGACCTTCCTAGTTTTCTTTTCTTCAAGTAAGACAACGTGACATTCTGTGGCTGCCCCCATCAACCTGAGCCCTTGAGTGACCATATATATATAGCGACCCCCGTGATAACACACAGTGACACATAGTGTGAACAAGAAATAAACCTTTGTGAGAGGCTGATCAATAATCAGAGAGTTGCTACAACTAGGACTCCCACAGTTTTGCACTGGGATCAGTTTTACTGCAAAGATCTCACCACAATCAAAGCTGTGTTTTTACTCTGCTTATTATGGTTCTATCCTTATAATTGTAGCCTCATCATATAGAGCAAGCAAAGGCCCATGATGATAGCCATGTCTCTCTGAAATCACTCACAAATAAATGTGTTCTTGCCATGGACTGTTAGAAAAGAAAGAAATAAAAAGAAAGAAGCCTTTGTTACTGTGATCCAGCACAAATTACCCTCTCCTGACTGACATAAAATATGCGTAAGTAGTTGAAAAGTTTTATGGAGGTTGTTAAATTTATGACAAATGAATTCTCTAAAGGACAAAATGAATTAAAAAAATAGATAAAAAGATACGTAGAAATATACTGGTTAGAAATTAATGAAAAGGTTAAAGATATTATTGGGTAGGAAAGTTATGGATGGCTTTCTTAAGAATTCTTTTACAGGGCACCTGGGTGGCTCAGTTGGTTAAGTGTCTGCCTTCAGCTCAGGTCATGATCCCAGGGTCCTGGGATCAAGTCCCATGTTCGGCTCCTTGCTCAGCGGGGATCAGCGGGGAGCCTGCTTCTCCCTCTCCTCCTGGCTTGTCCTCTCTCTCTCTCTCGAATAAATAAATGAAATCTTAAAAAAAAAAAAAAATTCTCTTATAATTATCTTTTAATAAGCATACACATATATGTATGTATATATATATATATATATATGTAGTTTGAATCCAACTCTGACATTCTGGAAAAGGCATTACTACGGGGACAGAAAAAGATCAGTGGTTGCCAGGGATTAGCAAGGAGGGTGGGATGAATAGGCTGAACATAGAGGATTTTTAGGGCAGTGAAACTACTCTGCATGATACTATAGTGGTGGATATATGTCAGTATTCATTTGTCCAAACCTACAGAACGTACATTACCACGAGTGACCCTAATGTAAATTACTGGACTTTCGGTGACAAACATGTATCATTTTAGGTTCCTGAGGTGTACCAAATGTACCATCCTACTGCAAATGGTGAGAGTACTGGAAGCTGTGCATGTGTGGGGACAGGGCTATTAGGGGAACTTTATGAACTTTCTGCTCAATTTTTCTATGAACCTAAAACCGTTCTAAAAATTGAAGCCTAAAAGGAGAAAAAAAATGCATATATTACTTTCTATAATAGGGGGGAAAATCTCAAGTACTAAAGGTCTTACATCTGAGTGTGTGCTGGAGTATTATATAGTAATAGCCTACGCTGATTCAGCATTTAACAGTTCTAAGCACTTTTATGTGTTGTATCTCATTTATTCTACCAAAAACCAATAAGGAAGATAATACTAGTATTCTGAGTTTAGATATTTTACACATAGTAGCTGCAACCCTCCCAAGCAGGCATGGTGCTGGCTTCTGTTCTTTTCGAGAATGTTTCTCTAGCAAAAGCCTTGTTTGAGATGTTGTCCCCTTCCCAGGCAAGGGGCAGTTTGTTTGCTGTGCAGTGTAATAAAGATAATCTTTTGAGGCAAATTTGCTTGCAACATCCTTATAAAAATTTGGGTTTCCTGAGTTTGAGTTTCCTCAGCTGTGATGCAAACTCAGTGTTTCCATACCCACCTAAGCTCACCTCCCTGCACCCCCACGGGCCCTAGTAGGGACCTAAATATGAAGATCACACTGCTGTGCTGTAAGCAAAGAAGTCCTTTGCCTCTGACCCAGTATTTCTTGTCTTCTGCCAGCTTCTGTGTAAGTGGCAGGCTAACTTGTTAGCTAGCAAGTAGGGTAAAATCTCTGACTCTTCACAGTTCTCGGCATTGTCAACAATAATTTGTAAGAAATCCCTGATTTCGTTATTTTTCACTATCTGTTGCATACTTGGGGTAAACCATTGTAGACCCGCAGGTAAGTTGAAGATAAGAGCAAGGACTGTGGTTTTACCAGCACAAACCCTCTGAAATTGTTCATGCAATAAATGTTGAATTAGCTGTGATAAAATTTCAAAAAGATTTCTTATTCTATTCAGGAATCCCACCTGAAACACTAAATATGAACCTCATTTCTTTAAATAAAATGATCAAAGAGACAGTAACTAATATAATGGAAATTAGAACAAGTTGCACTACTAAATAATACATACCAAATAATGGAGAGAGAACTCCAACGATACTTTAAGTTTCCTTTCCTGTCAAATTGTTACAGATTTTTTTTAGCAGCCTCGTATAACTGGTGGTATTTTTATTATTTTTTTATTATGTTATGTTAGTCACCATACAGTACCTCATTAGTTTTTGATGTAGTGTTCCACGATTCATTGCTTGCGTATAACACCCAGTGCTCCATGCAGTATGTGCCCTCCTTAATATACATCACTGGGCTAACCCATTCCCTCATCCCCCTGCCCTCTAAAACCCTCAGTTTGTTTCCCGGAGTCCATAGTCTCTCATGGTTCGTCTCTCCCTGCGATTCCCCCCCCCCTTCATTTTTCCCTTCCTTCTCCTAATGTCCTCCATGCTATTCCTTATGTTCCACAAATAGGTGAAACCATATGATAATTGACTTTCTCTGTTTGACTTATTTCACTTAGCATAATCTCCTCCAGTTCCATCCATGTTGATGCAAAAGTTGGGTATTCATCCTTTCTGATGGTTGAGTAATATTCCATCATATATATGAACCACATCTTCCTTATCCATTCATCTGTTGAAGGGCATCTCAGCTCCTTCAACAGTTTGGCTATTGTGGATATTACTGCTATGAATATTGGGGTGCATGTGCCCCTTCTTTTCACTACACCTGTATCTTTGGGGTAAATACCCAGTAGCTCAATTGCTGGGTCATAGGGTACCTCTATTTTTAAATTTTTGAGGAACCTCCACACTGTTTTCCAAAGTGGCTGTACCAACTTGCATTCCCACCAACACTGTAAGAGGGTTCCCCTTTCTCCACAACCTCTCCAACAGTTGTTGTTTCTTGTCTTGTCATTTTTTGCCATTCTAACTGGTATAAGGCGTTATCTCAATGTGGCTTTGATTTGAATTTCCCTGATGGTTAATGATGTTGAACATTTTTTCATGTGTCTGTTAGCCATTTGTATGTCTTCTTTGGAGAAGTGGTCATGTCTTCTGCCCATTTTTTGACTTATTTGTTTTTTTGGGTGTTGAGTTTGAGAAGTTCATTTATAGATCTTGGAAATCACCGCTTTGTCTGTAGTGTCATTTGCAAAAATCTTCTCCCATTCTGTGGGTTGTCTCTTTGTTTTGTTGACTGTTTCCTTCGCTGTGCAGAAGCTTTTTATCTTGATGAAGTCCCAAAAGTTCATTTTTGCTTCTGTTTCTCTTGCCTTTGGAGATGTGTTTTGAAAGAAGTTGCTGTGGCCGATGTCGGAAAGGTTACTGCCTATGTTCTCCTCTAGGATTTTGATGGATTCCCGTCTCACATTGAGGTCTTTCATCCACTTTGAGTTTATCTTTGTGTATGGTGTAAGAGAATGGTCGAGTTTCATTCTTCTGTATATAGCTGTCCAATTTTCCCAGCACCATTTATTGAAGATGCTGTCTTTTTTGAATTACTCTTATAGAACACTGACCTGAAGTTGCTAGAAATATGCATGTGTGCTACATACAAATAAATTAAAAAATATGTCTGTTTCCAACACCAGCACGCACTTAAGTGATTCCTTTTGGTTTCAGAAGGCAAATCATAGGCATAATGTATTTTAATTGAGATATTGTAAAGACTATACTATACTTTTAAAGCCCATAACTTTTCATTGTTGAACTTCTTTTTAAAGTGTCATTACATCTAATGCTGGATGATTGAATCTGGAGCTAAAGACATAATCGAAGTCATTTAGTATCTTAATAGTTTAATTAAATCATTTGAATAAAAGCTGGTGACATATAAATATATATCTTAATTGGATGCTAATTGTGAAGATAAATTCAGACCTATTTATGTCACTTTACTGGTTATTTTTTTTTTAAAGATTCTTAGACCTTTCAAAAAGCTTCTAAAAAGTCATATGTGAAATTTTTACTTGCTTTCTTCAATATTTTGCTGTTTATGATTACTCAGTATAATTTCAACCCCTGTCTTAGGAAGTTAATGCGAGATAATGAGGTCTACAAAAAATATGAACTGCCTGTGGTTCATATGGACTATATGATGTTTTCTTACACAGCTCAGGTTCAGCCAGCAACGAAGTGCCATAGTTTAGTACTTGGAGAAGGCATCCCCATTTGAAGGATAAAATAATTACCACGTTCATAAATGGATACAGTGGAAGTGAGAGCTGCCGTAATCAACTTCTTTGCTTCTGAGTTAAAGGGCCAGGAAGTCATTTAGAGTTCTAAGGCGTGGACAGTGCACTAAAGAACAGGCCAACTGATTTAAACTAGTGACCTTTCTATGCTGGCATTAGATGTGGCTGCTCATTTATTTTCTTTAATTAAAATTTTGTTCCTATAACGTGGATGGTGACATACAGTATTTGTGAGAAAATCAGATATTAGCGTGGATATGGAAGAACAAAATCCGTTCCAACTGCTAGCAGTCCATATTTCTTTCTAACTTGTGCAAAATCCTTAACCACCATAAATGTCAAATACTTCTTTCCACTCCTAAATAAAACCAATATCACTTGTCTTCCTTTCTTGTTCTGCTTATTTAAGACCAAATGAAAATTAAGCCAAAGATGAGTTCAGAATAGGAGCAATAGCAGACCATCTAAGCTCCCTCAATTTAGTTCTAATGAGGCTAAAGCGGTGTTATATTGGAGCCCACTTTTGCCAGCAGAGCTGACTGTTAAATCATTAATATCCTTGAAATCAGCCATGGTGGGAGTTTGTATACCAACATGTCAGCAGACATTACCGATTAGGGCTTGCTTTTCGCTCTGGGGAAACAGTTTACCAGTATACCATTGGCTAAAAGTGTTTTGAGATAGTGTAGCATCTCTGTTACTTTGTTACACACACACACACACACACACACACACACACACACACAGTCTTAGAGGAACTCTGGAACTTAATTATTTCATACACTGGCTCTGCCGCTTATTAGCTGCCTGTAAGATGGGAATAATGACAGCAACAGTAACTACCTTAGAGGATTATTTGGGGGAACTGGTCTAAAGTATTTAATGCCACACACAGAAGGTGCTCAGTAAATGTTGGCTAATATTATTGTTATTATCTAGGCTGAAGCAAGACATTAGACTTTAAATAATATCTTTGAGCAACCGTGTGTGATATGTCATGTATTCTTACTAGCCTCCGTTTGTGTCATACTGGGCTCCTTGGCCCCTGATCCCCTGTTTTGCCTCCACACGGCTGCTTAGAACTGTGCACCAGCACAGAGCTGCATGTCAGCTCATCTCTGCCAACGGCGGCATTCATACACGCCTCCAGACTCTCCTAGCTCCTCCCCACTGCATCTCCCCCACAAGAAAAGAAACGCAGGGCAGGAAGAACATCACTGAAACGTGTTCCTGAGCCCAGCTACGTACGGTGTGAAATTTTGCTTAC